ATATATATATATATATATATATATATATATATATATATATATATATATATATATATATATATATATATATATATATATATATATATATATATATATATATATATATATATATATATATATATATATATATATATATATATATATATATATATATATATATATATATATATATATATATATATATATATATATATATATATATATATATATATATATATATATATATATATATATATATATATATATATATATATATATATATATATATATATACACACTGGTACAGTCAGCCAAAGATCCAGTGATACAGCCAAAAACACATCCACCAATCACAGTCACCATTACAGTCTTACTTTACCAAGTATGGCCACATAAAAGTGTGAGTCCGAGAATCCAGGTTGGGGTTGCTGGATCTTTGGCTGACTGTACCTAAGATTTGGTACTTGCTTGTTCTTTTATTTATTTGTTTCTTGCATTGCTCTGTGTCTTCACGTATTCAAACATTTACAGTATTACTTCTCATTGTTCGTGTATGACTTATTTATTGAATATGCTATTGTTTGATTTTTTCATGGTAAGGATCCAGTACCTTAATGAACACAAGGGCACTGGATATATTGTTGTAATTCTTGCACAACTACCACCAGGTATTAATCTAAAATTTTGAAATACTGTACCAGTACTTATGGGTGAAAGTCAAGATTATGTTAATAAGTACAGTACAGTGTACTGTATGTCTCTAAAGACTACTACAAAAAAAAATTACGTAAGTTGAAAATTTATCTTTCATTAAATGCTGCATTCTTTATCTCAAGCATATTATTCGAGGGATGAATACTATATTTATTTTATTTTGTATTTTTTTGTACTTTACAGTATTTGGGTGGCTTGAGTGCACCCCAACAAATGAATTATTGTTACTTTTTAATGAAGCAAGAGTAGCTCTTAAGTTCATTAAAATACTGAATTCTCGCTTTTTTGTATCTTATTTCCCTGTGCCCCCTTTA